CTTGGTAACAGATACAAATTCAATTATATATACCCGTCTTTAAATACAACTGTGTTGTATAATAACAAGTGAGTATTACTGTTAATGACTTGGCAGACCTTCAATATCCAATGGCCGACAGAAGCTTTCAGCTGCAGTATTTGCGCCGAATATACCCTACAATTATGAAGGTGTGCAGTAGGGTATGCAAATTTTATTTTCAACACCATAACATTTTCATAGCTTTGGCCAGCAGTAGCTTCCGAATCGAGCTACACCTGACTCCATACCCTACGAATGTCTGGGACATGGCAGAGATTATTGAAAAGTTGCCTAAACGATATTCTATGAGTATGCTTTACTGAGGACTGTATCTCAGTTCAAACTCTTTCTCAAGCGTATCTGGAATGGATGTAGTATAAATAAATATATATATATATATATATATATACATAGTTGTAGATAAAGATACATTATACATGTCAATAGACATAATATTTATCATTATACATACATATTCATACATATACAATATCATTTGTATTAAAGTATTAAAGTATGCATAGTTTAAGTCCGAAATTAAAAGTTTTTTCCCAGATCAAATTACTGTATTGAAAGGGTATCCAATATGCGGCACTTTGCGCTTGGGCTCACTTGTTTATTTGAGCCCAAACAGCATTGTTTAGCGAAGCTTTTGGCCAAGACACCCACAAGCACGCAGCTGGTGAGAAAACGGTAAGTGCAGCAGCCAGAAACTTGGCCAGCATTGAACTGGTCGAAATTAGTTACGACTTGTTAAATCTTTGCCTCAATTCAATTGTTCTTGTTGCTAATGTTATTGTTGTTGTTGGTTGTTAATTTACAAACGTTATGGGCAAGGTTTTGACACCTGGCTGGTACTTAATGGCGCATTCACCTCTGGGCTTTGGGCTTGGCTTTATCGCCAACTACACGCAAAATCCAGTGACGCACTTCTCAGCTTAAGCCTCCACTCCTAACGCCGGCAACATCTCCAACCCATTAAGTCCCAATTTGTCTGCGTTTTGTAATTGCTTGTTGATTGCTAATAAGCAGCGACCAATAATTATTGAAAAATAATAATAATATGCAAAAAGCCATGAAATGATGTCAATTTGCGCGTCCAATTAATCAATTGGCCCATTGGTAGCATCCACACCTGGCGATTGCGACAAAATGCAGCCCTGACAGCGAAAACACTTCAAGCACAGATATGCGCGAAAATTGCCAAGCAAATTAAATACTTAAAAAATAATTTTTTTAAATTATATACAAACGCGATTAGATGCGATTTAAATAGATAAATGAAATTACTAAAATATTTGATTCACCAGTCATCATTTATTATTGTCAAAAAAAAAAACAAGTACGAGGTTCTAGTCGGGAGCCCGACTAGGGGATACCCTGAACCCTCTTCTTTCAACATCAAATGTATATATATTTTCTATTTTAGAAGCTTAATGTCAAGTTTGGTGACTCTAGCTCTTATTATTTACCGAAATTGCCCAAAAAACAGGATATCGATATCGATTTTTATCGATTGCTTGGAAACGGAGTAAGTTATCGATTATCGGAAACAAGCTCGATCTGTGCGGGCACTAGCAGCACCTACATCTTAAATTTCAAGCCTCTAGCTCTTATAGGTTCTGAGATCCTTCCGTTCATACATACGGACGGACGGACAGACAGACAGACGGACATGGCTAGATCGATTCGGCTATTGGTGCTGATCAAGAATATATATACTTTATGTGGCCGGAGATACTTCCTTCTGCCTTTTACATACATTTGTATTTTGCACAAATACAATATACCCTTATACCCATTTTTAATAGGTTCAGGGTATAAAAAGTGTTATAAAAACGGTTTGTGTTTCGGTTCAGAGTTGAGTTAATCGCTACCCAACACTGGAATCTACCAAATATGGTTAGAAAAGTCAAGTGGTTGGGGCCAAAGAAAGAATATGCTTTGGTTCGGCATTAAGCTTTGCTGCTTTTCTGGCAGCTGGTTTATTTAAAAGATCCTGTCTGTTAAGTAATAAATTGATGCTCCGAACCTCGTGTAGACGCCAGACGGAGCAAATATAGTAGATACAAGTGGCTATCAGGTTTTCAAATACTTTTAATGCACTCAAACAATAAATGTCGAAATACGTCTCTTTGTAAAACACGTTTATGTACAACACAGGGTATCTTCTAGTTAAGCTCCTTCGCCAAATGCATTCTTGTTGGATTTTTGTTCGAGAGAAACTTCAAGAACGAGTACCCTCGAGCTGCGATGGAAGCGTTTGTCAAGTGAAAGTTTGTCTTGATAACTTTGATTTATTGACATACGAATGAGCGAGTCATGTGAGCTCCTAACTGCAGGCCCCCTTTCCCTCCAGCAGCTCCCATGTTTGATAGTTTCCAACAACTGTTGCTGCTGCTACTGCTGCTGCTGGTCTAAAGTTTCCACTGACTATGCTGTGCAAAACTGTCAGCGTGAATTTACATACTGAACAAAAAAAAGAAGAAATAAAATAATAATAATAATAACTGCAGGCGGGTAAACAAAGCGCTTCAAAACGGCTGCCTAGTTGAGTATATAGGGGGGGTGCGGCGGCAATAAGGTATGGCGGGGGAGAGGGGTTTGGTTGGCAGATTATGGTGCGACTTGGATTGTTGTCTTTGTTTTAGTCGCATAATTACAATTGGAATTTAATCAACAGCAGCGGCGGCGGCAGCGGCAGCGGCAGCAACTGCAGCGCGTTCCAAGCGACCAAACATGATGCACATTAATTATAATCTTTGCGAAGGGTATGCCTATTTTATTGCACATAGAAGAATAAGTCGCCTAGTTCATTGGGTGTGTAATAAATACTCTGGAGTAGCTAAACAAATTATAATTCTCAAGTGGTTCTGGCTTTAGACTGGGAAGAAGAGTCGGCAGCACGGTCTGTTGTTGAAAGAACTGAAAGGTTCTCTGAAATAGCTGTGCATAATGATAGTAATAATAATTATAAAAATGACTATAACAATCGAAGAGATCTATAGGGTATTTAGAGCACAAGACTACCTAGATACCTCCTCATTATGTCGTTTTTCTATTTGTATTTGCTTTTTGCCTTGCATCGAATTACCAAATGCTTAAAAACTGCATATACATGCATTTTTTTATGCGAAAATCATAATAAGCATTATCATTATTATTATTATTATTATTATTATTGATACTTATCAAGCGAGCTGCAACAGCGGCTGCGGCTGCGACTGCACAGGGCGAAGGGGCTGGGCCAGTGGGTGGTGGGGTTAGGGGGTGTCCACAGCGTTACAGCTCAGCGACGCTGTTCGCTTTGGCATCAGTCAACGGACGCCGTAGAGCTGCGGTCTTTGCGGCACTGCGGCTTTGTAAGTCAGGGGCAAATGGGCGTGGCACATGGGCCGTGGACTGCCATCATCAAAACAACAACAGAACAAGTGCGATAATTAAGACTTCGTTTAAAAAAATTGAAAAAAAATAAACATTTGATTGAGGTAGCAGCAACAACAATTGGCCAGCAGACAGGTGGGTCGTGATAAGCACGAGAGGGGGAGGGGGATGAAAGCTGCGGGTGCATTAGGTACTTGAAAATTGTGCACGAATTGCCGAAGGGCACACACACACACACATGCACAAATTGACATCTTAGGGGTTCCCTCGATCGATTAGATCGAATTTGAATTATTAATGCTAATTTATTGATTTTTTAAATATACTTTTTTTAGGTTACATTTGCTGCTTCTTCGGAATCGTATGCTAATCAAACCTGGCTGGAACTCATGGGACCAGATCAAATAGCGGCTTGTACTAGTTACTAAGCAACTAGCTGCACTACGTTTTGAGCCACTCGATAACAAGGTGGCTCTAGCCGTGACACTTCAGATTGCAGTGCTGAAATCCCCGCCCCTCCCCCGACACCACTTCCGTCGGTGGCTTTTAGCCTCGTTCATATTAGAGCCAAAATGTGCTAACGACGTGAATGTCGTTCGTAAGCAAAAGTTACCAAAAGTGACAAGGCGAAAATAATTGAAAACTTCAATAGCAGCATTGACGTATTCACAATTAATATCTAAAGGCAACAATTCACAATTGTTCACACACTATTTGTACATAGAGGCGGTAAGTATCTGCGTATCTCGTACGCTGTGTCAATAAACTGAGTACATAGGGTATTATAAAATTAAGCAACGGTTGCGACGGCATTCGATTAATAAAGATATCGATACAAAATATTGTTTTCAGAGGGTAATTACCTGCAGCAGGCTTGCAACATCTAGCCGCAGATATCAAAATGATGTACAAAAGACAATACATATGGGATATATATTTATCAATATACATTTTATATCTCTTCTCAAAAACTTTTTTTTATATATTTTGTGCATAATTACATTCTTTGTCCTAACCCACTTCTAAGTAATTGAATCGAGGATCACTCGGATCTCACTGCTTACAACATTTTCCAACACTAAAGCTCTCGAATACTAGGATATTTGCCAGTCGGGCACACTGTTTAATTCGGTAAAAATCTTTTTGCAAGAGAGAGTCAGTGAAATTGCAGACGATGTGAAGTTTACGACTCGCTTTTTTGTGCAGTTGAATATTTTTATGTAATATATATGTATACATACATATGTACATTTGTGTAAGTATGGATATACACATTAATATGACTTTTTATTATATTTTCAAATTCTTTTTTCTTTTGGGATTTTTGACACTGTGGCAGCAGCGCAGAAGCCATCGCTGTCGCTTATCAGATGTCGCACAGCAATATACGACGGCGTCGACGTTGGCGTTGGCGTCGCCCAAGCACAAGCTGGGATCTGGGCGATCGACGCGTCGCATGCCGCCCGCACGCGCTGCTGCCAGCAGCGACGCTGACGCCGACGTCGCCGCCAGCAAAGTTTACCGTGTGGCGAGTCGACGGCACTCATTAAATTCAATACAAATTTTAGTCGCTGAGTTCAGCTCAACGTCGCTGGTTTAGGCATAAAGCAAAGCTCGTTAACCAAGCCCTGTTTAAAAAAAAAAAATAAACAACAACAACAACAATAGACAATAGACAGTTGCAAACGTTTGCCATGTTGTTGCTGCTGTAGAATCGCCACAGTTACAAATAGAAAAAAAAAACGTGCCTAAATATCACATCCTGGCTGCAAGCGTGTATTAAGAAATTGAAATATAACTTGCCTAAAGTGAGTTTCCCGTTACCGGTTGTGTGTGTGTGTGTGCGTATGCGACTGTGTGTGTGTGTGTCTGTGTGGCTTTTACTACTAATTTCATTAAAGACATGTAAATTAAATCAAATTCGCGTTTGACGTGAAATTTGTTTGGGCTCTCGTATGTGCATCGCACTCTCTCTTTCGCTCACGCTCTCACTGACAATTACTCTCTCCATGTGTGTGTGTGTGTGTGTGTGTGTGTGTGTGCTTGTTTGATTGTATTGTTGTTCATACTTTGTTGTTTGTGTGTTGCGTGCCAGCGACATCCTACAAACTAACGTACTACAAATTGTTCACGTTCATAACACTTATGCTATTTGCATATTTTTTTTTTCTGGTTTCTGGTTTTTATTTATTTACCTACATATTTATTTATGTACCTTTTTTTTTGCTCTTTTGTGTCATTGACTTGATTAATGATATATGTGCTGATTTTTAAGTTGGTTTTTTGTTGATTTTTTTTTCTGTGATGATATTTTGTTTTTATATTTTTGCGTGATGATTTTTGATTTTAGTCTTCTTTTGTTGCGTGCTTTTTGATTAATTTACATTTTTTTTTATATATTTTATTTTGTTGGGGAAGTTTTTTTTCCTGTTATTTTGATTGCCAAATTAGTGTCTAATTTATCAAAGCGATCTGTTCCCATTTTCTGTTTTGTTTACGGAGTCGCCGCACACGTCGCTTGTTGGAACTGCCGCAATTTTAGACTGTTTAAGTCCCCATAAATAAAACATTGTCTATTCAAAGTCACACACACACACACGCAGCTCTCCAAGTGTGTGTGTGTGTGTGTGCAACTATATTTAGCTCTTTATTTTATCAATGAATTGCGCATAAATAAAACCTAAAGTCGCTTTATTTTCTATTTTTTTTTTACTGTTTTTTTCCAACTAATTGTATTTAATTATTTTCAATTTAGAGCTGAGCTAAAGCACAGCTTAATTTATATGATGTGTGGTATGCCGCACACGGCTTTGCCGCCCCCAATGTACACACCCCCACCTCCCGTATACCCCCTGCCCACCGATACACCCCCTAAGCCAACCTTATATGTGAATATGCCTTTATATCTGCGTATCGTCGCGATGTATCTCACAGATAGGCATGCAATCAATAACTTAATGGACAATTCAGAGCGCCGTAGTCGTGTATGTGTGAGTGTGTCTGAATGTGAGTCTGTGTGTGTGTGTGTGTTTCGGTGGGTGTGTGAAAAGTTTTGTCAGCAGCCGGAAATGGGTAAAAATATGATTAGAGACGGCCCGGCAAATTTCCAGCAAATTTCCCGCAAATTGAATTTGTTTTATTAACTGGCAAAGCTTGTTTTCACAGCAGCCGGTTTGCGCCGCGCAAGCCGCGCAACGCCGCTCAACGCCGCACAGCAGCGCATCACGCTGGCAAATCTAATAAGTTAATTTTCATTTATATATATATTTTTTTACTGTCTATCACTGCGTCGGCAAGTCCATTATTGTGTTAATCTGTCCGAGCTCAGAATTTCCTGCATCAACTCTATGGGGTATACGGGGCATAAAAATCTATACAAATCGTAAAATATTACTTAGAAACCTGCAAGAAATGCTATATACCGATTAATTAAGTAAAAGACTTTAAGCCCAAGGCAAATTGGTAGCTAAATTTGAACTTCGTCCAAGCTTGGCTTTAACCAGACATAGTCAAAAAAATCTAGTAATTCGGACCACAGTTATATATGCTTTGAAGCTGTAATTCCTACCTAAAAGTTCTTTATTTTGATATTTTTGAAAAAACAAGTATTGGTTGTGCTTTTATTTTGGCTCAGAACCTATTGCTCTTTCTATAGATCTCTACAAATCAACATTTAGATTAATGGATTTATATTAATTTATAGAGTTATATAAGCTTACAGGAAATTAATATTTTAATAAACAACCCAAAAAAACATGTTTATTTTTAATAAACATAGCTTTAAGGCTGACAAACTTATTCCCAACAATAGAGAAAAGCACACTTCGTGTATATATATTTTTCATCGTGAAGCTCTGCAAAATACACCGTGGAAGCTTTCCATATTTTAAGTGGCAAAACATGCCAGATGCGAGAAAAGCTGAATTTTAATATACATCTTTTAACTGATTTGAAATTGTCGTGCAATCCACTAAATCAAATTTATTATGCAAAATTATCGTAAGAATATCTAGAAAAAACCGCGATAAAATTCGTCGCACTTGGCAGAACCATAAAGTCTGTTCGATTAGCCGATCGACACATTGTCTTTAAGTACAATTGTCTAAGCGACAGTTAGTTAATATGCCAGATCACGACACTTCCTGGTTAGCGAGACCCAGCTAAGGCCACAATACGGCCAATACCCAGACCCAAAATAGTGCATCGACATGTTTGTCTAGCTGTAATTGAGCAATTGACCTCAATGGAAATGCTTACGCTTTTGCCCCAACTTTTGTTGTTGTTGGGGTACAACGCACGTTTCTGAAAAGTTGGATGACATTGATGGCACTACGAGACCTATAGAAGTAACTGTAGACCGCAGCACTACAAGCATATGCTTATATCTGGTAATGCATGCTAATTACTCAGTTGCTTTCGAGCCGAACCAAAGCATAAGACTCTTTGATGATAGTTTCAATGTTGTTTCTAATGTTTTCTATACCTCAAATCAATTGAGTTTTATATACGCGAATGGAATTTACCTGATAGAAGAGTCAGATTAGAGATTGCGAAATAAAATAAGGTTTTCAATTATCTTTAACATTATATACACCTACGCAATGACGTTTATTTAACTAAATTATTTTGGCTATCGCCTCTCTATGCGATTTTCACGAGTTGAAGTAAGCTTAATAGATTTATGTTATTTTTTAGTGATGTGTTATAATACATTTGATGTCAATCGATTTGTTTTATTACACTCTTGATCTCTTTACTCTTTTCTGCCTCTCTCTTTCACATTCTTATTCTCTCTTTTTTTGCCACTTTTGCTCGCTCTCAAGTATTACCTTTCTATGCGGTTTTTACGGTCTTAAGTTGTTATTAAAATTTATTCTTATGCTCTTTCGTTTTACGAATGTGAATACCCTTGATTTTTGCATATCATACGTGTATATGCCAATGTAGCTGATTGGCTTTTTTCTTTTATCTACACCCTATGAAATTACTTTTGCATTTCATTTATATCTATATACTACTCTCCTACAAAAGAGGGAATATCTGATAAAGTGCAACAATGTGAAACCGAACAGCGCTGAAAATTACTGGAGTAATTACAAAATTGCATAGTAATCGGTGTGATGAATGTTATTAATTTCAAAGATATCGTTTTTGACAAAATCGCGAAAATATTTCAAGTTCAGCTTTTGTTTTTTTTTTTTTTTTTAATAAAAAGAGAGAGTATTACTGCAATCAAGCTTAATTGCTTTTGCTTAGACTTAATTTTAGCTAAATTAAATCAGTTTTTAAAGCGGTGATGGGGGGTGTGGACGTTTGATTATTGTATTGTTTTCATTAATTTTTATTTATTTAGTTTTTCGGAAATACTAGACTAGTGGTTCGTTAAGTTTCTGCGTTTTGGATAATGCGATCTAGAGATTTGATTTATATGCAAATCGCTGGCAAAAATATTTGGCTAGCCGAACTAAACAAAAAAGAAAAAAAAACTAAGCCGCAATTAAAGGCAATTTAGAAATTTTATTCGCGAGCAAATCGCGAAAAAACTACGATTTAGGAGCCGAACAAAGCATGATAATGATCTTGTGCATGTGTGTGTATCTGAAAAAGACCCATGTGTGTGTGTGTCACACACTCACACACGTGCACACGCTGGCATTCTAGTCCAAATAGACAGGCAGACGCTATAATTAAGCCAAGCTTGAACTGAGTTGTCTTTGGGCGGCAGCGACAGTGGCAGCGGCAGCGTTGACGGAAGTTGAAGATTAAAACGGCCAGCAATGCACTTTATGGGTCGCTAGAGTTGCGTGTGTGTGTGTGTGTGTGTGTGTATACGTGTGAGTGTGTGTGCATATGTATATGTGTGTGAGTGTGCGTGTGTGTGACTGTCAAGGTCAATTAGCCGTGCTTAATTTCTGTCACTTTTAATGGATGCTAACAAAAAGTAGTTGCCAAGTTTTCATAAGAGTCAGCCGAAATAAATGTTGTTTTTATACCCTGAACCCATTAAAAATGGGTATAAAGGGTATTTTGATTTTATGAAAAGTTTGTAACAGGGTGAAGCAGCCGCGACCCCACCAGAACCCTTCAGAGCTAAAAACTTGTAAAGTGAACATAGGTCCTAATAGAGCTCTCTCTGTATGGGTCTATTTGCCCCGTTTCCAAGCGATCAATAAAAATCTAATGCTAAATCCGGTTTTTTGAGCAAATCTCTTAGGTTTAAAGAGCTAGAGTCAACAAATTTAAAATGTAGCTTCTTGAATAGTATCTGCAGATCAAGTACCTTTCATTTCATAGTCCCTCCCCCTAGCACGATCTACACTTAGTATTGGTAGGAGAAGTTCGGGGTATCCCCTAGTCGGGCACTTTTGTGTAGAGCACTCTTATTTGCTTTATACCCTGAAGTATGATACGACACAATATGATATACATAAGAATTTTTGTTGTAAGCTATCAATCCAAATATTATATTTCAAATGCGTTTTTCTAAGATATGGCATAATATGATATAAAATAAAATCATATATATCAGTGTGTTTCAGCATATAAGAATATTATTTTTATTATTTACGGTATAAGTTGTAGTTATAAACTATGAATCCAAATATTATATTTCAATGAGCTTTGATATGACAGATATGACATATTATAATATAACATGATATCATATATGTTAGCGCATTTCAGCATACTATAAGAATATTATTTTAATTATTAATAATATAAAATAAAGTTCTAAACTATTAATCAAACTTTTTTGTTGCAATGCTCTTTGGCTAAGACAATACAATAGCCTGGGACTAGAACCCGGATCCTCGTCGTTCAGTTTATTATAGACATTAGACATATGTTAGCGTAGGTCTAAGAATATTAAAAAAAATCATAAAGTTTTCATGCCATTATTATTAAAGTTATTTGAGTATAAAAAAAAAACAAAACAGTTTATTTCTGGAAATTCTATTGTGCATATGGTTTATGAGGCTGCAATTCTTAAATTCTTCTTCCATTAAAATATAATTAATAGTTGTTATACTATGTACCGTGATTCTCAGGCAATTAAGTTTATTGTGCATCTCGCTCTACGTATTATTCCAATCAATGTTTATTTTTCTTAATTGCTTTAAAACCGGTTTCAAAATGATTTTGAACAGGACTTCAAATATTTGATTCAGATGGTTTTTTGATTGATTGAGACTTTAAACTTTTGTTATGCTTCATGACGAATCCTCATTCTTTCACAAAAAAAAAAAAAAACACAATATTCTATATATACAAATAAAAAGATATGTAAGCAATTACGAGCAAAACGAGACTTGAAAAGAAAACAATATTTGTTGGCCCTTAGATGACTAATTTCGTAGTTTTCCTAATTAATTATGAAGGCAGATTATCGCGTTTTATATAAATAAATAAATGAATTAAGTCAGATTGAGGTACAAATTGAACCTGTTTTGACGGGGTAATCTTTATGTAGCTATAGTAAGTAAATAAAATGTAAAATTGGGTAAGCCTCTCAGCTGAATCAGAATCAAATCTAATTGGCACACATTAAACCTCGGCTATGCCATTATCCTATGATCTGAAAAGGCGAGTTGTTTTTGTCGCATAAAGACTAAATGCCTCATTTAGCTCCAGGTACTTGAACTAATTGAAAGTATGTCTAAAGTGTCTGTTAAACTGCGAGTGAGAGATGGAGATAGAGGGAAAAAGAACGTCAAATGGCGACAATAAAAGACAAAGTCAGGTGGTAAAACAATTTGGGGAATACCAAAAAAATTGATATACATATATATACACGCGCCAAGATAAGCAATTCGAGACAGTTCGAGTGACACAAATGTAATTAGGTTTTCGATTGCTCGTAATGCGATGAAAATGCGTCGTGTTCTACAAGTCCGGGCAAATGTCTTGTCAAAATAAACGAGTCTGCATCGGAAATTGACAAACAGCTGCCGAGCATTATATCGATAAAGGCAAAGAAAAAAGCAGTACTGAGTAATTGATAATGATAATTGATAATGATAACCACAGCAGCCGGCCAGCCAGAGGCAGAGCCCCAGGCACGGGCCCAGGCCGTGTCAGTCGAAGTTGCCGTTGACGTTAACGTTAATGTTGATGTCAGCGTAGCGCTTGATTGACACTCGCTCGTAGCATTTATAGACTAGGAAGAGTCGGCAAAAGAGCAAAGGCAAAACATAAAGCGAAACGAGGGGCAAACCCCGAAAGCCAGAACCCAAAACAGAAATACAAACGAAATACTTTCGCTGGCGATTGTCACTGGCAAATAATCCAATCAGAATAAGTGGGAGATGCGCACGAAAATAGAATGACAACCAAAAATGTGACAGCGGACAGAGTGGCGGGGGGCTGGCGGCAAGTGAAGCTTGAATGACCCCAACCCACCTGTCCCCACACCCCCGGCTCGACCACGATTAATACTCATGCTGTTAAGCAGAAAATTAGAGAAGCGAAACGACTTGCGATCACAACACGACCTACTGAATGATCGATTACAGTATGTATGTTGCGATGATGGATTCTGTGGAATGCAGATTAGACATGCATTTCAGAATGTCTACGGTATGCATAGCATAGGGCAGGGGTGTGCTTGTGTGTGTGTTTGTTTGTTAAAGACATATAGACAAACGCATGAAGAGCTACTTATATAGTTCCTCTTAAAGATAATCATGTGTATGTATTATATACTATTTGTATGTTTGTGTATTTACTTTTAAGTTTCAGTTATAATTTTAAGTTCTAGTCAAGCTTTATAAATAGCTACGTAAAGTGCATTTAGTGAAAATACCAGATAAAGGTTGAAAGGAGGGCATTCAAAGTCTGTCATTTTCGAATATTTCTTTTTTTAATATATTGTAATCGAAGTTCGAGTTATAATTTTAAGTTATAGTTAAGTTTTATAAATACCTATACAAAATACATTTGGGGTAAAGACCAGATTTTGATTTAAATTTGTATACCCCAGCCAAAGAGCGTATTCAGAGTCTGTCATTTTCGACATTCTTTTAATATATTGTAATTTCTTGAACGCGCCTATCTCCATCTAACCGTCTCTCACTATCTGTTGTTCAGTTTCTATTGTCGTTCAGTCCTCCCAGTTTTTAGATCTTAGCATTCAATGGACTTTGCTACATCTGCTTCTTTTTGCAGCTGACAGTATATATGACTTATACATTTTATTAGCGGTCAAAGCAATGCTTATTAAATGGAAAAACTTGTGTATTTATAAATATCACGATTATAAGTCTCATGTACGTGTTATTGGCTGTTATAGAAAATTTGTATGGAATGGCAGAGAAATTTAACGATTGCATACATAAATATTGCCTTTAAAAAGGTCTTGATTACAAGCCAAAAACATGTTATTTTACAGTGTTTCCAGTTGATTACAAATTGTGGATAGCGAATAAAACTCAGATTATGATATTAAATAGCTAAGTTATTGTTTATAGAGCTAAACTTGTGTAACTAAACACATATGTGATCAATATTTTAGAGCTTTAACGAGCGCTCTCTTGAATGTCGCCGTTCTAAGAGATTCTCATGGTCTCAATTAAGGAAATACGAACTGTTTTCTGTCTTATCTGGGTGGATAGAAGCTTAGCAAATCTGGCTTACGATATCAAATAGCTGAATTGTTTTGACATTGTGAAATTGAATACAAACTCGATCCGTGGTCAAAAGCTTCAACCAGCCCTCTCTAAAATAAGCCCTTCTATGAGATTCTCATGGTCTCAAGTAAGGCTTGTAGAATTTTTATGAATATCTTTAGAAAAGTCAAGGTGTTAGGTTGAGCGTGCTTATCGCCGATGTGCAATTTCGTTTACCCTTTCCTCTCTCAAATATCGGCTTTCTAACAGATTTTCATGTCATATTTTATTGCTTTATTTAAATAGATACGATTATGTCACCCAAGGACGGCGGTGGCATTGACCTCACCAAGCACAACAACAAATATACGCTCAGCCACACCACAACGCCGCCAGGCACGCAGCTGGGCCAGGAGAAGGCTACCGATGGCAGCGGTGAAAAGACAGCCACGCCAACGGCCAAGCGCACCTGGCGCGAGAAGCTGCGCCTGGTGGCCAACAACATCACGGTGGAGCCCATACTAGCGGCATATATTATGCCCAGTGTGCTCTCGAATCTGGCCACGCAGAACCTCAACTTAGAGAAGGCGTGTCGTGTGAACATGGCCTACGGAGACGAGATCTGCGATGCGCTCACCCGCCGCCAAACGGCCAACTACACGCTGTGAGTGAGCTTCCCGTTCTCTATATCTCTTTCTCTCTCCTCTCTCTTTCTCTCTCTCTCTCTCTCGACAACAATTTAATTCTTTAATTCTCTATCTGCAGCGAGGAGGAGACAGTGCAACAGATGGTCGCTCGGATGGCCGCATGGAAGACGGTGATTCAGTCGCTGTTTCCCTGCCTTCTGATCCTGTTCTGGGGCTCGTGGAGCGATCGCCATCGCCGTCGCAAGCCGTGCATCCTTATACCAGTGGTTGGTGAGTTCCTCGGCGTTGTCGGCCTTATGCTCTGTGTCTACTTTGAGAACGCGCCAATGGAGGCGGCCGCTCTAACGGAGGCCATTTTTCCATCGCTCAGCGGTGGCTGGTTCACCATGCTGATGGGCGTCTTTAGCTACATTGCGGATATAACCACCGAGGAGGAGCGCACCCTGCGCATCGGCATACTCAACGTCTGCTTCTCGGTGGGCGTGCCCATTGGCATGGCCTTTAGCGGTGTCCTGCTCAAGTAGGTGCTCTAATTGGCCCAGCTGGATAGCTCTCCCGATTAATTCCGTCTCCTCTTTCCAGGCAAATCGGGTTCTATGGCGTATTCTCCATCTCGGCGGCCTTCTACGTGCTGGCCTTTGTGTATGGCTTCTTTTTTCTGGAAGAGCCCGTGGCACGACCCGAAAAGACCGCCCCGCAGAAGAGTCTGCTGGCGGATTTCTTCGACAAGGAGCATGTGGTGCAAACCTTCCGTGTGGCCTTCAAAAAGGGCGAGAATCAGCGTCGTCAGCGGGTCATCCTCTTGATGATTGTCGTCATGGTGATCATTGGGCCACTTCATGGCGAGATGGCAGTCACGTATCTGTTCACGCGCTTCCGGTTCAACTGGTCCGAGGTGGAGTTCAGCTTCTTCTCCACCTATGCAATGTTCACGGGCCTCATTGGCGTCATCTTCTGTGTGGGCATACTCTCGCACAAGCTGAATATCGATGATGCGCTGGTGGGCGTGCTCTCCAGCACCTCAAAGATATTGTCGTCCTTTGTGTACGCCTTTGCCACGCTGCCGTGGCACATGTATCTGGGCGGACTGGTTGAGATCTTTAATGGCACCGCGTTCATAGCCATGCGCTCGATAGCCACCAAGCTGGTGTCCAAGGATGAGCTGGGTAAGGTCAATTCGCTGTTTGGCGTCGCCGAGGCACTCATGCCCATGGTCTTTGCGCCCATGTATACGACTCTGTACGCGGCCACGCTCCGGGTGCTGCCGGGCGCCTTCTTTCTACTCGGCGGCGGCCTAACTGTCTTCTCCGTGGGCATCTTTCTGTGAGTATAGATCCGTACGTATAGCTACTCACTCTTGATACACCTTGACCTTTTCCTTGCAGTTGGATGTACCGCTTCCAGGTGCGGCAGCGTCGCAACGAGTCGCGCTCGGACACGGAGCACGGCTCCATACGAGAGCCTAATGGCAACATCAATGCCGTCGAGGCTCTGGCTCTGGCCAGCGAGGCCAAGGGCCAGCTGAATGGCATCATTGCAAATGTGATACACGAGTCCCTGGAACATGCTGAGGCACATTCAAGCCCAACGGCAACGGCGACGGTGACGCGGCAAAATGGCATTGAGAATCGTGGCTATGTGCAGGACGCACTGGATGCCAAGGTCAAAGATACCTAGAAGCACGTACCCGTCTGCTATATGTATATATATATATATATATATATATACACACATATATATATATATATATATATATATATATATATGCATCTTATATATATTGTATAATTATTCTGTACCTACTTATTATGCCGGCCTGCGAATCGAACCGCGATCGCCCTTTGAAGTGCCTCCAAATCGGTGGAGCAGGTCGCGTATTATCTGTACCTACGTATCGTACGATCTGTAAATTGTTTAGCTCTAAGTCAAGAAAAATTTGTAATATTTTTTTTTGGATCGAATTTGCTATACTACGTTTTTTTTTCTGTGCGTCTTTGTACTATTATATTTTTTTTGTGCTTAGATTTAAGACTGTAAAAGTATTGAATAAATTTAATAACGTCCAATCGGGGCTTGACCTTTGCATAGCGGAAGTGGCCGCAGGATATGTCGGAAAACGACACCGCCTATTTGGACAATGGAACACTGTAATCAGTTTTTGTGGCAACTGCGCCGCGACAATTACACACACAAATAACACAACCCAAACCAGGCCGAGAGACTGCTGTCCAAAATGTCCTGGCTGCCTGGCTGCTGCCTGGCTGACTGGCTGGCTGGACGACCGGCCTATCGCGCACTTCCTGTCCGCCGGAAAGGGAACAACGGCCGCACAATTGGTTTGCTCATGTCGCTGATAATTGTCGTTTGCGTTGCACAAAACGGATGAGTGCTGTTTTCCCTACTTCGGGCATATTAGCTATGACCAGAGCTAAGCGCTTTTCTGGTACTAAGCTCAGGTAAACTTGAACCTCTTACGAAAGCAACGTTTTCTCGTTTAAAACGCAACGAATTTCAATTTAGGATTCGATTTTTCAGAATTAAACGATATTAATCGTTTTTCGATTGTGTCAATTAATGATCGTCAAATCTCTTGGCTTGTCCCTTGGCAATCATCATATATGTTCTGCTGACCATTCTTTCAGAATTTACCCAGCGCCAGCATTTTAATTTAATAATCGATAATTTAGAGTTAATCGATAAACAGAGACTTTCGCTTGATTTCGCTCGATGATCGTCGAGCAAATTAACGCACATTATACATAATAAAATTGCCTTCAATCAATTAATTTCTATTGTTTGATATGCCACATAAAACGCATTGATTGCAATCGGTTAATCGATTATATTTTGTGTGTAATTGTTGCTGTACATTGATGTTGTATCAAGGTAAGCAAACACACAAAAGCCTTTAAAATTTCCTATTGACAATGTAATATCTTTCTCTTCGAGTATATTTACATATATTAAATTTACTTATCGATATATTCGTCTGACTATCGATAACGTGAAAACAATCGCTCTTGATAATTCACAGCCAGAGCACTCGCGCTTCGTGGTTCTGTCGTGTGCTGGGATGTTGCTATCGTTGTTGCCATTTGGCGACCGCATGCGGCACATACTGCACTTGACAGCCACGCGCGTTGGAGGTTGAGGGCGGCTGGTAGGCGTGGCAATTGCCCAACATTGCCCAACGCAGCTCCGCTGCCTTTAATTACTTTTTTCGATATCGACTACGGCAGTTGGGCGCGTACGCCTACCTGGGCACGCCCACAGCGGGCGCCCACTCGATCGGATCAACGGCAGCGGGAATGGGCCAGAAACTCACCAAACAGCATCCACAAACATGTTGCCAGCAGCATTGTTGATAGGCCTGCTTGCTGGCAACATGCTGCTGAGCTAGATGTTGCGTTGCGCTGGAAATTTGATAGCTTTTTCAGATGATGTTTTTGACCCATAAATAATTGAAGTAAACAATGCGGAGAGCGACAGGGCAAACGAATTGAAATTGGAATCAACCCGAGTCGGAGCCAGAGACAGAGCCAGATTCAGAGCCAGAGCCAGGGCTTCGGTAACTGGGCCCATAAATCTACGCAGAGCTGCATTTAATCTGGCTTAAACACGCATTTTCTTGACAATTTCACAGTAAAACTCTTGACTGAACATGCCCCAAAGTTGTAGCAAATGAATTGAGCCTGCAGCGAAATGACAGCCCGACAACGTGCCGCATAATTAATATGCGATTTTCGTCTCTTAACGCTCCAAATGGCCACTAAACCACTATAAATTCACAAATGATAACACTAAATCAAATTCAAATGGGGAAACTCTGTGGTTCCTTTCGCTCTGCTCTCAATACTGGGCATCAAACGAGTTAATGAAGCGTGAGTGGCCCCACTCAAAGAAGACAAAAAACGAAGTAGAAACCGCCATGACCAGGGCCCAGTCACAAAATAGAACTTGAGCCTCGTCGAGCTCTCAGTGGCGGTGGTGGGAGATGCTGAATATGGCGGAAAAAGTCAAGCGATTTGACCGTTAAATTCCCTTCCAGTGCTAAGGGCGGCTGATTAAGGGAGGGGGGATGCGGGGGGGTCTGGGTAGCTGGGTAGCTGGCAGGAAGCATTTCAGCCGCCTTTCTAAGTGATGCGTGGCCGATTGGGCGGTTGGGCGGAGGGGTTGGTAGGTCTATGGCAAATGGAGGGGTCACACATGCTGCCACCGGCGGAAGCTTATTTTGTCTCTTGACCTCATTTCTGGCTTTTCCGCTTCCGGTTTTCGCCTGATGCCAAATGCTAAGTAGTTTCGCTTTTAGTGCAAAATGCTCGACTCCACTTCAGTTGTTGTCGTTGTTGTTGTTGTTGTTTTCGCTTCGCATTTGTTTGACTTTGATATTTGCTGGAAGGCCACTTGAAGTCTTCACTGTGACGAAATTCCTCTCTGTTCATATTTTTAAAGCATTTCGATTATTTGTGTGCGCAGCTCTGTGTTGGCGTTTCTTTCAGCTGATATCGCTTCTCTATCGCTTCCTTCACTTCCCATGGGGCAGCACGTGTTGATGAAAAACCTTTTGGCAGGCGAGTTAACAGGAATCATAAGTCGAGTCGACTGGGTTTTCGGTAGATAGCAGTATGTAGCCATGTCCATCCGTCTATTCATATGTCAATAATCTCTGAGTTGCTTAGCTATGAATCTTTATATAGTTTCGTCTTATTCCTGCAGTCAGAACATGTGTCGAAGACAGCCGGATCGGAACATTATATCATATGGTTGTCATAGGAACACGATCGGTTTGGAATTTGGTTTTCGTATGAAAAACTTTTGTGTCTTTCAATATATTAAACTAAGTAAATTAATTGTTTTATATATAAGAAAAGTCGAGTACCTTATCATATATATATTTATATATATATATATATAGGAAGAATCAGTAAGTATAACAAGAATTTTATATGAAAAACTCTTTTACTTTTCAGATACCAAAATAGTATTTGACAATTTAAAGATTTCCTCATATATAATCAAAGTCTCAAGAAGATAATTCTTTTATGTTATATATATCTTTCTAAGGATCTAAAAAAGTTTTCCTTGTGACAAACGTTTGCTTTTCCAAGATATCTTGACCTTAGCTATAACGAGCTTCATTATGCTCCTTGATAAAAGCAAGAGCGTTTAAAAAAAGGAATAAATCGATCTTGAAAACCCCTATGAAATTGCCCTAGAACAATGATTTTAAATCTTATTATACAATAAATATAAACGAGAATGTAAGCATATCTTCGGCACACCGAAGATTTAATACCCTTGAAGACATTTCCCATGGACATATTAAGAATAGTGAAGCTGGTAAATGCAGAGTTAGATGAAAACATCTTGAAAAAAACAAAAAATGTTGCCATATAAGAAACTGCTTTTCGACAGATCTCTCCAACGGCAGCTATATGATATAGTGGTCCGATCCGGTCGGTTCCGACATATGTATTGTCTATCAGAGAAATACGGACCTAAGCTAAGTTTTAAGTCGATAGCTTTAAAACTGAGAGACTTGTTTGCATAGAAACAGACGGAAGGACGGGCAGACGGGCAGATGGACAGACAGACATACAGAGGGACGCACCGATGGACAGACGGAAGGACGGACGATCGGACGGACAGACGGACTGGCGGACAGATGGACAGACGGATCTGGCTTGATCAAATCGGCTGTTTCGGAGATGTCTCCTGCTATGCGTTACACATTTGATGACAAACTTATAGTACTCTCGAAAAGGGTACACAATTAATATAGGAACTGTTATTTTTTGAATTTCTATATGAACCAGAGAGTTTTCTATGGGAAATTTGAGTGAACAAACAAATAGCTGAACTTTTCAATAGCCAGGACTCCGAGTATAACCTAGCCGGGAGGTCGAGCTCCGTGCTGCACTTGCGCCCGGCTGGCGGGCGAAACGTATGGAAATTATGATATACAACTTTTCGTATATGGTAAAATGTGAAGCATTCCGTTTTATGGTTTGTATTTATTTGATGAACATTTTGTTGTTTTGGCTGCTTGTCGGTTACCCGTTGGGCTTATTTATTTGCCGTGTTTGCATTTTTGGTTTCAATTAATTTTCAAAAATGTTTTTCTACTTTTTATTATTTTCGTTATTATTTGTATTTTTGTGTATATATTTTGTATTTTTGCATTGTTTTCTCTCGCCTTGCTAGCAACAATTTTTGTTGCACAAAATACATCATTTTGTAGTTTTTGCTGCACGCTTGAAAGCTTCTTAACGCTTTCTCTCTCGCTCCGTCTCTCGCTCTCCCTCTCGCTTTCTATTCCTGTGTGTGTGTGTGAGAGTGTGTGTGGGTGGGTTTGTTATGTATTTCTAATGAGCCCTGTGGCTGGCATTTCACCACCTACCCCACCCCACCCTGTATGTATAGTGTGTGTGTGCGTCTGTGTGTGTGTGTGTGTAATTTATTTCATTTAAATGATTTATTTATTTTGTTCATTGCCTTTTGCAACAGTTCTCGCTGCGTTGGCCGTGGACGCCTTGGCCCTAGCTCTACAGTGACTCCCACGCCCCGCTCCCGCCCACATTGGCATATCCTTCGCCTGAGCCCGTCTCCGGCGCATTGTTGTGGCAGTTGTTTTTGTTGTTAAATTGCTTCTGGCATTTGATTTGTACATCATTTTTAACGAAGCATAAAGTTTTATATGGCAAC